TATAGGAGATCTATCTCACATCCCTTTATGTCTGCAGTGAGCTGGCATGGTTCCTTGTACAAGAGGGTACTCAGTAAGTTCTGGCTGAAAAAATAAGATATAAAAAGGTCTGTGACTTGCACAGCCTATTACTAAATATTCTGAAGTTAAAGCAACTCCTGTTCAAAATATACAGAAATTTTGAGCTGACATTAGTTACTCAGAAGACACTTACAACATTCAGATGTCTGAGTCCTCAATTCAAATTCCTTAATGCTATTTACAGAGAATATTAAAAAGAAAAAAATGGGAATTCTGAGGCATACGGAGAAAGGATGAGAGGATACACTGATCCTTTTGGAGCAACTAAAAAAAACACATTTGAAGATCCCAATTTTTTAGAATTATGGCCTTCAAACAATTTTGATTATGTACCCCATCAGTAAAACATTTTTGGGCATGTGCTCAAACATTTGTATTGTATGTTTATTTACTTATATATAAAGTTTATGCCACGGTCAGAAAAAACATATGATTTCCCAAATGAGGACCTTTATCGACTTTCAATATGCTACTGGCCGGTAAAAATCCCCTAAATATCTTTAAATTTAGGGAAATCATGCCAAATGTAAAATTGATTTTAAACACTGAAAACAAACAAGAAAGGAAAACAAAAACATCTTATTGTCTTCATATACTGGAAAATATTTTTAAACATCTTGCTAATTAGGGTGACCTCATCTCATCATCAGCTTATGTTTCAAAGAACAATATACACTTAGGGAGTGGCTTACAGTTAATAACAGCTATTAAATAGGACTTTAGTCTTCTTAAAATTCAGCACTTTTGGGGGTGCCTGGGTGGTCTAGTCAGTTGAGCATTCAACTCTTGGTTTTGGATCAGGTCATGATCTCAGGATCATGGGACTGAGCCCTAATTCATGCTCTGGCACTCAGTGGGGAGTCTGCTTGAAAGATTCTTTCCCTCTGCCTCTCCCCCCACTTGCACACGTGCAAGAGCGCCCTCACATAAATAGGTAAATCTTAAAAAAAAAAAAACAAAAACAAAAAAAACAAACAAAAAAAACTGACACTTTTGGACTTCTTAGGTCCAGAGATTTTTTTTTCTTTTCCAAATCTCATGGCTTATATTTGGAGAAGTGGTAGCTTTGCCATCTTCTCATTGCTTACTTGTGTTCAGGTAACAGTCTTGAGTCTGCAGCTTTGAAGGAATCTTTTACAGCCACTTGGCATTTTGGTGAAGGTTAATTTAGTTAAAACTGGATAATGCAATCCTAACCCGCACTTGTATGCTTCAGTACATCACAATACACCAACATGAACCAACCGGGGAAGAAGTTTTCACGTATGAATGCACTCCCTTCTCTCAGTAGACTTGAGACCACTTGACATATTCAGTAATGGAAAACATGTGTGTCTTTACGGATTAAAAAATCAAGTTTTCATATGATTATATATTTCCAGGTAAAAATATAAATAAAAAGTGTAATATTTCTTCTTAAACTCCCCTGGCTCCTCTTGCACACCCTCTGTGGTGTACTATCTCACTCTGGCAAGCACGAGCACGCACAGCCCTCTCTACAACTACAACATCAAAGCACGTACTAGTGACACTTAATGTTCATTCAGTATATAGAAAAGTCACGGTAAGCATATGATGTAGTTCCCTGCTGTAACTCTCTGCCTCTCCAAGCCCAGGCTTTAGGGCCCAGTCTGGCAACCACTGAAGCAGCTTTATAGGAGGGAAACTTATTTGAAAAAACAGACACTAATCTTTTAGTTTAGAACAGGAAGCAAAAATAGAAGCTAGGTTAATAAGGAGAGACTGAAAGTGACAGATATTCCAATTGCTGGACGGGAACTCAAACTCTAATAGTAGCGCTCTGTTTCAGCATGTCTTTCTTGAACATTGTGTCACGATCATGCCAATCCTGGCTAACTCTAGTCACGTTATTTACATAAACATGCAAGCTGTTAACGTATTCTGTGCTCTTTTGTCAAATAAGAGTAATTACAGTTTTTTTTTTAATCAGCTGGAGAGAGAGGAAACACTGAGAACTTTGGCAAAGAATATGTTTTCTAATTGAGTAGTAAGGATTATAGTATGATCTGTTTTTAATATTGAATCATACTAGTATTCTTTCTCCAGTCTGGGTCTTTATGATCTTCACAACATAAATATATTTATCTTTATTTACTTGAGATGTGTTTTTTTTTCAATCTTTTGAGACTCCCTTCAAAATATTTTTTAAAAATTTAAAAATTTAAACCCCAAAACCTGATCTGGTCAAAACTAGATAGCTTTAAAATATATATGGTTAAGATTAACATAGCCGATCTTTGAAAGAACAAAATCCAGTGGTTTCAGAGGAGAATTAGAGCTAGTTAAATATTTATGAGAGTCTAAACATCTTGTCTTTCAGAGAGAAACAAAAAGATGCTAGATAAAAAGGTCAACCAAAGGTCTGTTTTTGAGAACATATTAGAATTGTTTGGCTATACTAATTTTTTCTTCCAGTAACAATGTAAGTTTTAGATTATTAGTAGCTAACAGACAAAACAAGTTTAGAAAGTTAATGGTCAGAAATAGTATGAGCCCTGTGAGGTATATTTTGAAGTAATATTTATGAAAACTCAAGAACTTGAATATATGCCAGTTGTTTTTATACATTAAATCTCTAAAATCAGAATTACACAAAAATATAGTCAACAAACTATACGTGGTTCAAATTTTTGGAGCAGATTTATTTAAAATTTCAGAGTAGTTCGAAAGCCACTTTTTATGCTGGGGCACAATTACACTATTTAAAAATGTACTGTTTCCAAAACATGCAAGAAACGAAGTATTATATTCTGGCAAATAATATAGTGAGGTCAATTTACCTTTACCTTAGACTCTAAGGCATAGTTACTTCTAGATGTCATTTAGCCACATCATAAATGTCTGCCTTGAACAGTCAAATTTTCCAAAGAAGCCGAACAAGTTTCATGGGTGGGGCAAGAGGCTTGAGAAGGAACAGGATTCATTTTGGCTTGCTCCAGCCTTGGAAAAAACATTTGGTACCACACCCTCAACAAAGGCCTAACACAGCAACTAGTAATCCAATCAACCCACTTCGGTCCATTGTGACAGTCTTCTAAGGAACTAAATAAAACAAGGCGAAATAAAAAAGTGAGTACGTAAGTTTGGCGGCGGCGGGGCTTGGGGCGCCTATAAGATAAAGAGGTAGGAACCATCAAGCAAATGTCCTTAATTTTCAATCTTCTATTCGCCCTAGGATAGAAGAATATTTGACTTATCCACCGACAGGCAGTTTTATTCTTTCTACCTGATCAACCTTCCGAGTCTGCCTTAGGTGTTAACCACCACTTTCTGGAGCAGACCATTACTCAGCACCAAGGTGGCAACGAGCGCCCTTGTACAGCCAGGGGTGGGGGGCAGCAGGGTCTTCGGGGAGGTGGAAAGAGGAACACCAGCACCAAGCGCTCAGGTGATAGCAGCCCTCCCCTCGCCCTCCGAGTCCTCGGCTTTCCAGGACCCACACCTGGACGAGGGAACGATAAAGCACAAGCTGACCCGCGCTGGCCCCCAAGGCGGCGAGGAAGTCGAAGGGCAGGCTCCGGCCAGGAATCCCGCGGGTTGGAAGGAGGCCGCGGGAACCCGACGTTCACCTCCCGGACGTCCTCGACCCGGGCGCACGCCCACCTCCCAGCCCCTCTCCCCAACTTCAGCCCTCTGCCCTGCCAGCCCGTTCCGCGCTCCGCTGCCCTCTCCCCCCACAGGCGGCCAGCCTCCTACCGACCTCCTTACCTTTCCATTCTTGGGGCTGCCGTTAAGGAACAGGGTCACCCGCCTCATCGCGCTGCCCCCACTGGGTCCTGAGTGAGTCGCCACCCTCCCACCTGGCTCTCCTCCCACCTTTTTCTTCTCCCGCCCTACCCCTCCCTCCACCCACTCGGACTCTCCTCCCTTCGCCACCTTCCTTTTCTTACAGAGACACACTCGCACGCACTCTCGGTCCCACACCCCAGGGTTGGCCGGTCCTCCCTTCCCACCCCGCCCCTGGGCTCCTCAGTCAGCCTGGGACCCTTCCCCCACTTCTCCCAGACTGACTCTAAGCTCCACCAATCAACCGGCAGCACCGGCCAGAACTCAGCCAATTATCGCCCTGCACTGGGTGGGCTCATACTAACCCAGCCCAGGTGGAGGGAGGGAAGAGAGGTTGCAGTCTTGCAGACGGGAAGGGTTATCAGCCAATCAGCACAACCTGGAGCCGAACGGCGGCTCTAGGCGTTACTGAGCAGGCGCAAACCCCCCCCCATACCAGGTAGAGCTCATCTGCATAGGGAGGCGGGGTTGGAAGGAAAGAGGTGGAGCGTTAGCAGGGACCCATACAAGTCAGCGCCTCCGCCCACTCGCTCAAACCACGGACTAAACGGCCGCGGTCCGGACTGGATGATTGGGCAAGAGCCCGCCCGTCGTTCTGCAAGGATTGGTCCAATGATTCTTTTCGAAGTTTGCAGCATCCAATTGCAAAGGGGGGCGGAGCTAAGACGCTAACCGAAGGATTCCTCCGCGAGACTCTCACGGAAAGTAGTCCCCCCTGGATACAGATTAGCAGCCCGTCTCTCTGGTTGGCGCGTCACCCGCAGCTAGTGGTGGCTTCTCTCGAGCTCACCAAGCCACTCCTGGTCCTGGGAGGACTAGGTACAAGCCCGGGAGAGTTCGGGGTGCGCGTGGACACGTGTGGACAGCGGCGGCGTAGAGATTCCTGGAGTAACGCCGACGCCAAGGAGGCGGGGCCGGCGATTTGAATCTGGCGGCGGGCGGCGGGCAGCGGCCGGCGGAGAAGAAGGTGGGGATCGCGGACGGCTGGGTTGGAGTTCCTCGGGCCGGACGAAGCAGCTCCTGGCGGCCGGCTTGGCGGCCGACAGTTGCCTTCTCGAGCGAACCGTCAGCACCTGCACGACACTCAGGCGGTGGAACGTTCCAAATAAACCCAGTGGGAAGAGAGCCCAGCTGGGGGAGTGAGAGGTAGGGCCGGGGCCCTGGTCCTGCAGAGCTGCTTCTGGGCCGTGCTTCTCAAAAGCGTGGTCTCACTTATCCTGCTCCACGGAGATGGTGGTCCTCCTGAGACCTGAGCCGGACCCCCCGCGTGCTTTCTAAAATGCAGGTTTCCTGGAGCCCAGCCAGACCTACTTAATAGAATTTCTGGGAATCCGCAAAGCTGTGTCTGTAACAGGGTACCCAGATGATTCAGGTGTTCTCCAAGGTTGAAAAGCCATGACTTCTAGTGTGAGGTCTGCTTTGTTGCATTCCCCAACAGCAGTTTCCTGCATTTCTCTTTTTTAAAAGCCCTCAAAATACCCTCTTGGCCTCTATTTTCGTGCCTGTATAGATTGTGTATAGATTAGAATTCAGTCTTGAATGAGAATCTTGATCAAATCTTTAATATTGAAAATGGGGTTTCTTTTCTTTCTTTCTTTCTTTCTTTTTTTTTTTTTTTAAGATGGATAGCGACCCCAAAGACAGCGAGCCTCTTGAAACCAAGGAGCCTGCTCTTCGTGATGATGGTATGTAGTGATCTTTTGCCTCCTTGTAAAATGTGAGGTTTAGGTGTTTGTTTTCATAATGATGTTTAGCCCTCACAACATGTTGTCTGTTTCAGAAAATTCCTCTTTCATTTTGGGAAATGGGAATCTTGTAACTCCTCAGAAGCATGAACCTGAAGTGACTCCTAATGGTTGCACACTGGATACTTTCAAGTCACCTTTGGACTTTTCCACAGTAACAGTAGAGCAATTGGGAATTACACCTGAAAGCTTTGTAAAGAACTCTTCAGGTAAAAGAAGTTTATTGCAGTGCTTTTGAAGTTTAAAAATAACTGTAATGCAGTTTTGTGCATCTAATCTACCCTCTCCCATTACTTTGACTCTACAAATGTTCTGTTAGGGAGATTTCTGTGAATATGCACGGTGCAGCTAGCATAGCAGAATATTCGGTTCCCAGAGCAAGCAGCATAACGTTCAACAGTGTGCCCGGTGCCCAAACTGGGAAAGAATACACATGTGAATCACTTTTTGACCTGACTCCTCTAATTAGTAATAAATTTTATGCTTACAATATGGCAAAAATAAGAGAAAGTTGAGCTATTAGGAAAGATTGGGTATGCCTCTTTCAAAATCACAAGCAAAGTTGACTCGGACGAATCTGCAAGGAGTAGAAATGAAATTCATCTGTGAAGTCTGATTTAGCTAAGAGAGGAAATAAATGTGAAACTGGGATTAGATTGGAGAAGAGTATTTAGAAATAGAAGGTGAAGGAAGGCTGAAAAGTCAGAGGGCACTAGGCTGAATAATGCATGTTGTAGACAAGACCACAGTGATGTGCCATTCTGTGTTCCATTCTCAAGAACATTATCCATAAGCCTTTAAAAAAAAACTGGATTCATTTTGTGCTCTTCAGCATGTGGCCGGAATGCAGCGTAGTGTGTGGAAGGTGGATTGGTTTCTCAGAGAAACAGGATTTTGAAGAATTGAGAACATGGGAGTACACGTGCCAAAGTGGAGAGAGCTTTCTTTTCAGTTCTTGGGGATAAGACAGACTAATTCCGAAAAAAGAGAAGTTATTAGTCCAAAGCTAGACATTACCCATTCCTGTGTGCAGGAAATATAAAACAAAAATGAGAACTATTAAAATATGTGTTCATGTGCTCATTCCACAACTCTCTGATCAATGTTTTCTATGTGCCAGGCACTTCCAGAAGCATGGAATAAATCAATAAATAAAGATCCCTATCCATCTGATGATGTGTGAATAACTTCCTCTATAATTCTCTGTTTAGATTTCCATAATAGGTGCTTCTCATGTTCTCTTTTAGGCTGGTATATTACAGGGAATTCAGTACATGATTACTCATGATTGCCTTGTTTTGTTCCAATTTAAAAGACAGTTTTCGTTATAGGAAAGTCCTCATCCTACCTTAAAAAATCCAGACGACGTTCTACAATCGGTGCTCGCGGCTCCCCTGAAACAAACCATCTTATTCGTTTCATTGCTCAGCAGCGGAGTTTAAAGAAGGCAGAGAAGTCTCCTTTGACACAGAATTCCCCTTTTCTGGTATGATATTCTTCTAACTTCTGTCATGAATTCTCTTACAAAGCTCTCATACCGTGTTTCTACCTTCTTGTGCATCTCATCTGTTTTTGGAGCTGGGGAGGTAATGTTTTCTCTGTCTTTACGGCGAGTGTTCAGTTTTCACTGATAGTGATGTTGAGTATGGCTATGTTAAGAATCAGGAAATCCTGGATAGAAATGGTTTTCTAGAGGAGCTATTTTATTTTGCAGGGTTTTTTGTTTTGTTTTGTTTTTGCCAGTTGATGTTTTTCTCTACAATGAAGTGAGGTAGTGTTTTTCAACCTTTTTCTTTTAATATTTATTCTTGAAGCATCTTAATTTTTTTTGACTCCTGCATGTTGGCATGTAGGAGTAAGAGTTCCCCCAGGACAAAATATATTTGGGATAACCTGACGAAAAGGAAAAAATTACTTGTCTGCTGATGAGGAAGGATATAGCTATTTTTGCGGATTTTTATAAGAATAATCCATGTTCCTAAAAAGTCAATAGTGTGCAACAGTGTCTATGAAAGACACAGTTAATGCTTCCCCTTTTTGAAGGACAGCTACTTATATTGTCTCTTTTGGTACTGGCCTTCCTATTTTAAAATGTACTTTATTGCCACTTCTTTATTTTTCAGTTTTAGACACTATGCACAAGGCTACATAGTGCAGTGGTTCTCAGAGATTATCTGCCCATCCCGGGGAGCTCTGCGTCCCATTCAAGAGGTCTGTGAGGTTAAAACAGGTTTTTGTAATAGCACCAAGGTGTTTGCCTTTTTCCACTATGTTGTTTGTATTCACAGCACAGAAGCAATGATAGGTAAGACTGAAGGCACCAAGCTATCGTTTTATTCCACACTCCTAAGCCTTCACAGGGAATGATAATGCCAGGTTCATTTACTATCCCTGATGATGATGCAGTGAACATTGTAAATTTTATTCTCCACCCTTGTGTTATGTGTGATTGAAATGGGAAGTATGCTTCAGGCACTTCCAAAGTACATACAGAAGAATGATGGATGTTCTGAAAAAAAAAAATCATGTGTGTAATTGTTTTGAGCTGTAATCTGAACTCTGGCCACTTTTTTTCATGGAGCATCATTTTTACTTGAAAGACTGACAGTCATCATGCTTAGTCAGACTTGGAAATGTGAATAACGTTTTCTCAGAAATGGACAGTGAACCTGCCCCTTCAAGGAAAAATGGAAATGTTTCTTACTGCTTAAAAAACTTGAGTTTTCAGGAGAAAATTAGAATTTGGAAAACTTCTGCTCAGCACCATGAGTTTGAGAACTTCCCACTAGCTAAACTTTCCTGATAAGATGAGTGGAGATATTAATGAATGTGATTTTCTTTAATACTACATAATAAAAGGTGTCAACATTTGGAAGATCTGCAGAAGTAAGTGAACCAATATTTCCCTAATGACCAGTGCATGCAAAATATGCCCTCAAATTGCAAAAGACTCATAGGTTTTAGCCCACAGAATATGAAGGTTCATTGATAGAATTTCATATTTGACATTGCAACTGACTTTTAGGAAATCTTTGGGTTTTATGTTCCACGAAAGGAAGAGTAGCCACAATTCTGGAAAGCCTGTTAAAACACTCTTGATAGCTGTAGTGCATATGAACTAATAACCTATTTTGATTCCCTATCTTTTTCATGGCCTGTTTTTTCATTTTAAGCTCTGTTCTTGTATTAAATAAAGAACATTGTGGCCTGTTAGGGAAATTATATTTTCCTGGATGTTTTCGTCCTCCCCTTGCAGGATCTCTTTGCCTTCAGGTTCCATTTTGCTACCTGATTAGTTCAGACTTTGACTCATGCTCCGATCTTTCTTCAGATATCTAGTGATCCTTGACACTCTGTTCATTTTTAAAAGTGAGACACTTTAAAAACTTGACTGAGAGGTCAGGGTGCATGGTCCAATGGATTTCTGTGTAGACATGGCCACTTTTTCACTGGAGGAACTCCCAAGTATCAGAATCCTGTGGTACTTTTCTTTTGGCAGATCTTTTTTCTCTGAAAGGAATTCCTGGGGTATAAACCTGAACCCCCCGACTCTGGAAATGAAGTGTCGAAAATGCCTGCAAGTCTTTTGATGTGAGCCAAAGGCAGATGCTATATTCTATATTAGAGTCACCATGTTCCACCTTACTTCCCTATGACTCATTTTATAACTGGAAGTTTGTACATTTTGACTCCTTTTACCCATTTTACCGACTCCTGCCTTTGGCAACACTACTCTCTCCTCTGTAACTATGAACTCCTTTTTTTCTTTCTTTTTGAACTTTGAGCTTCCACATGTAAGTGTGACATTGCAGTATTTGTCTTTCTTTGACTTATTTTTGTTAGTGTAATACCCTGAGGGTTTGTCCATCCATGTTGTCACAAATGGCAAGATTTCCTTCTTTTTTTCTGACTGAAAAATATGCTATTGGGTATACACCGTATCTTCTTTACCCATCCATTCACTGATGGGCACTTATTCAGTGATGGGCACTTAGGTTGTTTTCGTATCTTGGCTATTGCAAATAATAGTGGAGTGAACATGGGGGTAGATACTTCCTTTCAAGTTAGTGTTTTCATTTTCATTGGGTAAATACTCAAGTAGAATTACTGAATCTTAAGGTCATTTTACTTTTATTTATTTATTTATTTATTTATTTTAAGGATTTTTATTTATTTGACAGACAGAGATCCCAAGTAGGCAGAGAGGCAGGCAGAGAGAGAGGGAGAGGAGGAAGCAGGCTCCCTGCTGAGCTCAATCCCAGGACCCTGGGATCATGACCTGAGCTGAAAGCAGAGGCTTTAACCCACTGAGCCACCCAGGCGCCCCTACTTTTACTTTTTTTTGAGAGACCTCCATACTGTTTTCCATAGTGGCTGCACTAATTCACATTCCCAGCAACAGTGCACAGGGGTTTCCTTCATATCCTTGCCAACACTTATGGCTTATTTTTTTAATAGCCATTCTGATAGATGGGAGGTGATATCTCATTGGGTTTTGGTTTGCGTTTCCCTGATGATGAGTGATGTTGAGCATCTTTTCACATGTCTGTTAACCATCTGTGTCTTTGGAAAAATGTCTGTTCTGATCTGCCAATTTTTAAATTGGATTGCTTGCTTTTTTTGCTATTGAGTTACATGAGTTTTGTTTTTTGTTTTTTGTTTTTTTTTTGTGTGTGTGTGTAAGATTTTGTTTATTCGCTTGACGGCACAAGCGGGGGAGCAGCAGGCAGAGGGAGAGGGAGAAGCATTCTCCCTGCTGAGCAAGGAACCCGATGGGGGGCTGGATCCTGGGACCTGGGGTCATGACCTGAGCCCGAAGGCAGATGCCCAATCAACTGAGCCACCCAAGTGCCCCAAATTACAGGAGTTCTTTGTATATTATATCAACCCTTTTATCAGATATGTTATTTGCACATACTTTCTTCCATCCAGTAGGTTGCCTTTTTGTTTTGTTGATGGTTTCCTTTGCTGTGCAGAAGCTTTTTAGTTTGATATAGTAAATAACATTTATTTTCACTTTTGTTGCCTTTGCTTTTGGTGTTAAAACCTAAAACCCTTGCCAAGACTGGTGTCAAGAGCTCACCACCTATTTTTATGATTTCATGTCTTTCAAATCCTTCATCAGTTTGAGTTAGTTGTTGTGTAGGTGTAAAACTGTGGTTTAGTTTCATGGCTTTGAATGTGGCTGTCCAGTTTTCTGCGTGACATTTTTGAAGAGACTGTCCTTTCCCCATTGGATGTTCTTGGCTCTTGGTAAATATCACTGGAATTTTGTTGGTAATTGCATTGAATCTGTAGATTGCTTTGAACAGTACGACATTTTAATGATACTCTTCCAATCCGTGGGCACAGAGTATCTGTCCATATATTTACATCTTCAGTTTCTTTCATCAGTTTCTTATGGTTTTCCTTGCATAGGTCTTTTACTTCCTTGGTTAAATTTATTTCTAGCTGTTTAATTCTTTTTTTTTTTTTTTTAGATTTTATTTATTTATTTGACAGACAGAGATCACAAGTAGTAGGCAGAGAGGCAGAGAGAGAGAGAGGAGGAAGCAGGCTCCCCATGGAGCAGAGAGCCCGACTCGGGGCCCGATCCCAGGCCCCTGGGATCATGACCTGAGCCGAAGGCAGAGGCTTTCAACCCTCTGAGCCACCCAGGTGCCCCTGTTTAATTCTTTTTGATGTAATTGTTTTTTTTTTTTTTTATTTTGGTTTCCACTAGTTCATTAGTAGTGTATGGAAACACAACAGACTTTTCTATGATGGTTTTGTATCCTGCAACTTTACTGAAATCATTTATTCTAATGGTTTTTTTTTTTAAGATTTTATTTATTTATTTAACAGAGAGAGATCACAAGTAGGCAGAGCAGCAGGCAGAGAGAGAGAGAGAGAGAGGGAAACAGGCTCCCCGCTGAGCAGAGAGCCCGATGTGGGGCTGCATCCCAGGACCCTGAGATCATGACCTGAGCTGAAGGCAGAGGCTTAACCCACTGAGCCACCCAGGCGCCTCTATTCTAATGGTTTTTTAGTGGAGTCTTTAGTTTTCTATATTTAATATGGCATCTGCAAATTGTGACAGTTTTTCCTGTTTGTTTCCAATTTGGATGCCTTTTATTTCTTGTCTAATTGCTACTACTTAATCTTTCAGTATAAAGACATTAACTATTAACTTCCCACTGTGGATGGTAGAGAATTAACCCTTCTCTCTTCCTTACGCTTTCTATCATACATACACATGTGTACTTCCCATTCTCCACAACTTCCTAATAGTTGGGTTACATAAGTATTCAGGTGTTTATATTACTGTGACCACAGAGGTCATATTGAGCTCATTTTTCTTCTACAATTATGTTATCCTCCTTTTCTTTTGGTTCATTTTCCATTAGTACAAACAAATCTTAGTATCTCTTTAACTCCTCCTAGACCTCTAGGCATCCCATTTCCATGCCTCTTCATCACAGCAAAACTTGGTGAGCGTATTGTCTGTCTGTCTTGCCCCACTTCCCTTTTCCCATCCTCTCTGCGGCTGCTAGCCACGCCAGCTGGGCTTTTGTTTCTACCACTCTGTCAACAAGACTCTTGTCATCATTGATCCCTGGCCAAGACAAAGATTAAATCTAAGCATGCATCTTAGCCTTTCCTCAGCTTTTGAAGTGTTCGACCACTCCCTCCTTTACACACCTTCTGCACTTGGTTTATAGGATTCCATACTGACCTAATTTTCCTTCTGTGTCATAGGTCATTCCCTCTGTGTTTCATGTGCTAATTCCACCCCTGCTTCCAGTTTTTCCTTAGAAATGCTTGAGTGCCCTAGGGCTCCCCTCTGTCCCCTTTTGTTTGCTTTCCTTAGGCAACCTAATCCCTTCCCATGGCTTCCATCATCAGCTGTAGACTGACTGCAAAATGTCTGACTTTGGCCCAGAGCTTCCTAGAACAGTAGACTGTGTTAGATATCCAGTTGCCTATTCAACATCTTCACTTGGGTGTTTTTATAAGCATTTGGCCACACCCAAACTGTACATTTCTTCTCCCCACCAGCTTCTCCAGCCCGCTTCCCAGTCATAGGGCATGGCACCATCATCCAGTTGTTCAGGCCAACTACCTATTAATGTTCCTTGGTTTCTTTATTCCACATCCAGCACATCACTACCTATCAGAACCCTTTCTGTAAGTCCTCATGTCCCACAGCTCCACTGCGACAACCCTCCTATGTTTCCTGCCTAGATTACCAAATGCACTTCCTAACTGCTCTCCTCAATTCCCTCCTTCCCTAATCCACCCAGATCCCACAGAGCAGTCAGAGAGAGACTAAATCAGATCATTCCTTCTGCTGCTTAAAACCTACCACTGGCTTTCTGTTATGCCTTGAATTAAACCCAGACCCCTTCTTTGAAGCTTGCATCGCCTTTCCTGATCTGAGCCTTGCCCACCATTAGCCTCATATCCCCATCTCCTTCCGTTTCCTGGGCATGATGCGGGTTTTTTTCCCGGCTGCATCCTGTTTTTTTCATCCAAGCTTTTGTTACTACAGAATGCCTTTCTCCTCCACTGCCACTTTCTCACTGTTATTTATTTTTTTAATTTTTTATAATTTAATTTAACTTAATTTTTTTGCAGTGATCCATAATTCGTGGTTTCCTCACTGTTTTGGTTCCAGCTTTTTTTTTGTTTTGTTTTCGATAGGATGCTCTTCTGACTCAAGCCAGAGCAGCACTTTTTCTTCATCACGTTCCTTTTTCATCTTCTCACTAGCACTTCCTGTACCTGAAACTACATTAACATGTTTTCAGAATTTCTGTCCAAAGTGTGATTTCCCCCCCACTCTATGTCCTGAGCCCTTGGAACAATATCTGGTACGTGGAAGGAATGTTGTTGACTAACAAAGGTCCTAAGACAAAAGAATAAAGCAATGCATTTTGAATGTTTCGTTTCCCTTATATATTCCCGTTCTCCATCAGGAAATAGAGAAAAACAGTTCTAACTAGGGACCTTGCATTTGTGTTAGGCAGCATTTCAGTGCTTTAAATTCCTAGGACATTAAACCTATCCCTACCGTGTTCAAATGGGAGTACCCAAAAGAAGCCCATTGGAGGTAAATTGTATGACTTTGGGATAACCTGTTTCTTTTCTCCATATCTCATAGAGAAGAGTTGGCCACCAGCTTTTTATGAATGTTGTGTGTTATGTCATAAAGGTTGACATCATCAACCATATTTGGATTTAAAATATTCTGTTATTATGTAACAGTTCGCTTTGTGAATGTATTTAATTGGGAATAGAATCAAGTGTGTGAACAGATCCACCATCAAACATGGCTTCAAACTTTTAACTGATTTTCCTCCAGATGATATCATAAAGGGAGGTAATTTTTTACTTTTATCTATTGGTGTAATTTTTAAATTGTTATTAGCTCCAAATTAGTGGAAATATTAGATTAAATAGTAATGGGGGGGAACTGGATAAAGAACTTAATAATTTATGGGTAACAGAACTCTTTAATTTTATGTTACTTGCATGTATCTGGCACTTCTCTCCCTGCCAGTGTCAATGAAATTGATGACTCCTTGGCTAAAACCCTGTTAGAGTTTCCAGAGCGCTCTTGTGCTTAAACCATCTATTTGGCTTTGTAGTTTTAGCATACGACAGCTTTTGGTGCTGAGGAAGTAAGGTCCTATGAAATCAGGAAAATTTAGCTGGGGAGAGGGTAAGTGTGAAGGTGGGTCTCTGAACTGCTCCGGGAACATCTGCGTCTTGTCCTGGCCTCCTGGGGAGGGTGTGTGTATGGACAGAAATAGGCAGTCAGAATAGCTTGGAATGACCTAGGTATGTTGAGACCCTCATGTGTCATGCAGATGGTTTTCAGTGGATTATTTTATATATATATATTTTTTTTTTTTTTTTTTTAAGCGACTCTGGTGAACCACTTTCCAAAGTGGCAGGTTCTTCTTTCTTACCCTGTCTCTGGATTCAGTGCTTTCCTGTGTTCTCCATGTAATTGCTTACTTAGACTGGCCTCTCAAACATTTTTGTGCTCAACTTCTTTCCCTTTCCTAATCTGATTCGTCGAGACTGTCTCAGGTTGTGAACTCAAAGTTAGGAACTCTGAAAGAGAGACCTTAAGCTCTGTAGGAAGAATCCTTTTAAAGAGTTTTTAGCCCCCAGATAACTGGGGATGTATTTTGCACGGGTGCTTTTTTTAAAACTGTTCCCCACCTACTCCAGATTTCTGTCATGTGTGTGGCTTGACTAATAACAGTATTGAGCCAGGTTGTACGTCTAGACATAACCACACAGCTGTTCTCTGGGCTTGGGTTGAAAACCGAGGGAGGAGCAGAGGAGAAACCAGGGTGATGGCAGCACCCGAAATACTCAAACTGAAAATACGTGATTCAAGGGAGAAGAGGCTCTGCCACACTCATTACCTCTGATCTTCAAAAAGCCTTTATGTATTTAGTCCTGGATACAATGGTTATAGGCCTAGAATAGAGAAGCTGTGTTTGATTTCTTTATAATACCCTCCATGTTTGTATTTTAACAGGGCAGTCCTGTACCCTATCGAAATGTTAATTCTTTAAGGGAGCGAATGTCTGCCTTCCAGTCAGCTTTTCACTGCATAAAGGAGAATGAAATCATGATCGACCATCCTGAATTCTCAGAGGCTGAAGGAGAGTTCAAGACAACAGGCTCGTGTAAGTAAAAAGAATTCAGTCAGTTTGGACTTCTGTGTTTATTCAGAGACGCCTGTGAGGTATAAAAAAGATTTAGTTCCACAGTGTGAAGGCAGTCTTTTCTGAGCAGAGCTGTATTTTTAAATGGAGCCTAACATTTAAAATTTGGGAAATTTCACACAAAAATTTGGATTTCTGGTTTGTCTTGAAAAAACCTGATTTTTCACTCATTCCCGAGCCTATAATTCCACATGGCCACAGTTGAGTTTTGTGTGTTAACATGTCAGAGCTGATTGGCTTGTTTTATCTTTAGAATGAGGGAAATTTGAACATTTAAACCTTGATTTTTGGAAGTTGATTATTAAGCTTGGCAAGCATTTCTATGAATACCAAACAAACACCCAACCCTGTTATAAACAGATATATCTAATCTGACATCTTAATAGCCTGTCCTCTTCTTTACCATAACTTTTAGATTGGTTACTTTTTCCTATCACTTCTGATTTTGCAATCATAAGGCATTTGAAACGCCAGAATTGAACAAAGTCTTGACATTACCATAATCATCATAACCATTCCTCGGTGCTTTGTACGCTGAGGTTCCACGTGATTTTGTTTTGCTTTCTTGAACTATCTTCAGGTACATTTCAACACCTCTTCACACGCAGATCACTGTTACTCAAGTCCCATTCATCTACCTCCCCAGTATGTGACCCCTCTGACGTACTCGTTTGTATTTGTAGTTTGTAACTTACCTATTTTTCATTCCTGACCTGCATTTTAAAATATTTTACTGGCATGATTGCTCTAGTTCTGCAGATGATCAAATTCACTTTTTGTGGCTGGGAAGAACTGAGGCACATTTTGGCTGTATGTTTCATAAAATCATACACAGTCAAAGCAGAACCAGTATTAGAACATAACCACATCCTTTAAAATGTTCAGAAGAGGGGCCCCTGGCTGACTTAGTTAAGCATCCGTCTTAGGCTCAGGTCGTGGTCTTGGGCTCCTGAGATGGAGTCCTGTTTCAGGCTCCCTGCTGAGTAGGGATCCTGCTTCTCCCTCTCCTGCCCCTCCACCTGCGCACATGTGCTCTTAAATCTTAAATCTTAAAAAAAAAAAAAAAAAAGTTAAAAAGGTTTCCTTGTATATTTTAGAATAGTGAGATACTATATCAGAAATGGAAATACATATTAGCATATCTTTGTACATTTTTAAAGTCTAGAAAAAAATTTTAATAATATTTATTATCCTTTTAGTAGTGATGTTCTCTTAGCTTTCAGCTAGATTTCTTCTGAATAGAAAAATGTACTTTTTTTTTTTTAAGATTTTATTTATTTATTTGACAGAGATCACAAGTAGATGGAGAGGCAGGCAGAGAGAGAGAGAGAGAGAGAGGGAAGCAGGCTCCCCGCCGAGCAGAGAGCCCGATGCGGGACTCGATCCCAGGACCCTGAGATCATGACCTGAGCCGAAGGCAGCGGGTTAACCCACTGAGCCACCCAGGTGCCCCGAAAAATGTACTTTTAATTGATAAAATATTTAGATTCAAGCATTACATTTTACTGAAATTATTATGTGCAAAATTTAAAAGTGGTATAATAAAAGAAAATATTTTTGCCTGTATATAGCCGAAAAGGAACATCTTGGTGGATGTCAAGAGTCTGAGTTCCCCGCAAACTTATCATCCAAGCGTCGAAGGATATCCTCTCAGAGTGGCGTTGATGAAAATCTCATGGATGCAGTTCATCTCCAGATATTCCATAGTGCCCCTTCTCCTAATACAGGCAAAATGTGTGCTGTTGAAGCTGCACCTGCAGATTTTTCCGAGGTAATTCACTGACCAGAGTCCTAGGAAAATGAAGCTTTGGTTTTTCTGGCTGGACAGTTTTAAGACTGTCAGAACCCTTTTCCAGCTAGGGTACCTTGTTTTCTTATATTGTAGCTGAGTTTTCAGTTATGCTGTGTGTGTATGAATCTTCTACTTGTTAAATTTTTTTATTGTTAGCTTATTGGTTAGACAGTTTTGATGGATATGTTGCTTTTGGTTACAAAAAAACATTTAATGAAAATATTAAGCCCTGTGGTCTTCTGCTTGCCAGTTATTGTTCTAGATACTGTTGGTACAGCTGTGAGAAAATCATGGTCCTGCCCTCGAGCAGCTTTTAGTCTGCTGGAGGAAGCAGAAACAGGAGCATATTAATTTACGCAACTGGCAAATGAGCTGAAGATTCTCTATGGGCTGTGCTGCTCAGGTCTGAGGGGTCTTGCACTTGGCTTTTCTGCCTCTACCTGCTTTATTACTGGCTAGGAAGCAGGGTGCTGTTTAGCAATTTCTCCTTTGCTCTGCTCACTTCTTTCAAGTAGGTGTAGGGATTTTTGTTGTTTATGACTACCTAAAGCCTGTCAAGATTATCAAAAGATCGTAAGCTCCATAAATTAAATACTACTATTGAGGATTCTTGACCTTCACTCACATGTAAACAGGAAGCTGGTTCTCTCATCATTGGCTTTCCATGCTTTAGTTCTGGTGTGACATAGCTGGTTCTCATATCTTTAGTTAGAGCAGACACCTGACACCATTAGATCTGAAACTTTTTATCTGTAACTTCTCTGTCACAAAGACTCAGAGCGTATTCTATTGATCTGATTTGGACTGGCATAATAAATGTTTGCTAGTAAGACTCTTCAGGGCCCAGTAGGTTTCATTTGTAGCTTACGGTCACTTACAATTTCTGCTCCCTCTGTTTTTTTCTAGTTGATATGAAATTATCATCTGGCAAAACCAATAGTTTTTCATCATCACTTTGGGCATACACCATGATTTAGAAATGGTGTCCACATTAATAGGAATGTATTTTCTATCCTAGCCGTTAATGTTTTTCCTAGCTATTGATACCTTTTTAAATAATTACATAACACATAACATTTTTTGTTTTTTTTTTTTTAAGATTTCTTTATTTATTTTAGAGAGAGGGGGTGGGAGAGAGCACAAGTGGGAGGGGTAGAGACGGGGAAAGAAATCTCAAGCAGACTCCACGCTTAGCATGGAGCCCAGCGTGAGGCTCCATCTCACGACCCTGAGATCATCACCTGAGCCGAAACCAAGAGTTGGATGCTTAACCGACTGTGCCACCCAGACACCCCCATTCTTCATTACTTTTGAGAATTTCCTCTTTAAAATTAATCAGTATAGTTTTCTAGACTTCTAACAGTAAGGCAACGAAATGTGCCTCCAGACTTCCTAGGGAGCTGAAATTTGTTCAGTAGGATGTTTAGGCTGCAGTTACAGTGTTTTTAGCTCAATCCCTGTATGCTTTCTTAACAGCTAGGTAGTGATTGGTTTAAGATCAGATTTCTAGATAATCTGTAATACTTTAATCTTTATAAAGATCTCAGTACTCCTGTAAGTAATAAGGCTTAATATTTCTTTAATTTTATCCCCCTGCCAAGAAATCTTTTGAATCTGGTTTAACACGGTCTGGATATTTAGTTGGAGAGTCTGTTTCACTTTCCGAGCTCACAGAGGCTTCAAGTGGTAAGTATTTAATCTTTCTGTAGTACCTAGTACCTGTGCCAGTTCACCTATTGAAATATGTGTTCAGTAGACATTTGTGTTTGGTTTACTAATCTTTGGGGAAAATGAGGCAGTGCCCTACATTTTAGGAGTTCTCTATCTAATAGAAATGTTTCAGGAGAGAGAGGACTTTTGTATGAGAGAGGACTTTTTTTTCCTTAAACTGCTGCTGGTAAGAGTGAAATATTTCCAAGTTGACAGAATCTGTTATTTAAAAAAAAAAAAAAAAGAAGCATGTCTTGGGGTGCCTGGGTGGCTCAGTGGGTTAAAGCCTCCACCTTCGGCTCAGGTCATGATCCCAGGCTCCTGGGATTGAGCCCCACATTGGGCTCTCTGCTCAGCAGGGAGCTTGCTTCCCTCTCTCTCTCTGCCTACTTGTGATCTCTTTGTCAAATAAATAAAATCTTAAAAAAAAAACAACAACAGGATGTCTGAACATATAACACATATTTTGTAAGAGAAAACACTGCCATGTGTGTTGTTTTTTTTGTTTGGTTTGGTTTTTTGTTTTTTGTTTTTTGTGTTTTTGGTTTTTAAGTGCGGAAAGGGACCAACATTCAAAACTTTCCCCAAATCAGTATGCTGGTATTGTGTGAAAGTCACCAGTAAGGTATTAGGCTTACTATCAACCTACCTGTGTCTTTATCTTTAAAGTAAAACTTAAAGACATAGAGTTAGGTCTTGCATTTTTATCCATTCCGAGAGCCTGTGCCTTTCCATGGGGCACTTGGCCCATTAACCTTTCAAGTCATTATTGATATGGTTTGATTTATAAATCTAACATTTTTTTTCATGCATTTTCTGTTCCAATTTTTGTTCCTCTGTTTCCCTTCTCTCTTTTTGGGGTTTATTTGAAATATTCTTTTTGGAAAGCCAGTTATCCATTACCTTTTTTTTTTTTTAATATTTGTTTAAAAAAATTTTTTAAAGTAAGCGCTCATCCTCACGTGGGGCTCAAACTCATGTCCCCAAAATCAAGAGTTTTATGTTCTACTGACTGAGCCAGCTAGAACCCCCTACCCATTTACCTTTCAAACTATACCTCATTGTATTATTTTAAGGTTACCTTAGGGATTGCAAAATACATTCTTAACCTTTCAGTCTACTTAGAGTTAATGTTGTACAACTTCATGTAAAAGACAGTGTAGTATAATAATTTATAAAATATATATTTATATTCATTATCTAAATGAATATTTACTGAATGAATAAATAATAATAAATAGATGACCAAATACACAGTTTTCAGATAGATTTGGTATTCCTCCACAGTTCCTGAAAATATAGCTATAAAGGTGACATGATATCTTACTACTATTAATGAAAGTGCCTTTGGGACCCCCACCCAGTGGTGGGGAGCTGGTTGCCAGGAGGACCAACTATGTGATTGGAGGGTGGAACTTTGAGCCCCACTCCTGACTTCTGATGAGGAGATTGGGGCTGGAGGTTGAATCAGCCAATGGCGTTACCATTCATGGCCACGGAATGAAGCCTCCATAAAAACTCAGAAACACAGGGTTCAGAGAACATCCTGATTGGTGAACAAACACATGGAAATGTGGGGAGAGTGTTAACTTCTAAGAGAGGTCATGAAAGCTCTGTACCTCTTCCCCAGACCTCTCCTTTGTTCTCATCATCTGGCTGTTGATTGATATCCTTTCTCATTTCCTCTAATGAACTGGGAAACACAGTGGTTCCCTGAGTTCTGTGAGCTGCTCTGGCAAATTAAAAGAACATTAAGAGAACCTCTTGATTGATAGCCACTCAGTCAGAAGTTTAGGTAGCAATCTGGACTTGTGACTGGTGTCTGAAATCCAAGGAGGAGGTTGTTGGAACCTCCAGTCTGTAGCATGTCAGAGGCACCAGTGACAGCCCAGGACTTGGGACTGGCTTTTTTTTTTTTTTTTTTTTTAATTATCTGTTTATTTGAGAGAGAGTGAAAAAGAGCACACAAACAGGTGAAAGTCAGAGAAAGAGAGAAGCAGACTCCCTGCTGAGCAGGGACCCCGATGTGGGGCTCAATTCCAAGACCCAGGGATCATGACCTGAGCCAAAGGCAGGCACCCAGCTGACTGAGCCACCCAGGTGCCCCAGACTGGCATCTTAAATGAGTGAGGGATGCTCTTGTTGGACTGAGCCCTTGACCTATGGAACCTGATGCAATCTCTGGGTAGGGTCAGACTTGGGTTGAGTTCTTGGACCTCCTGCTGGTGTCTGAGAATTCCTTGGTGGCATTGTGTGTGGGAGAATCCCCTTCCCCCAAGTTGGAATTGGGTCCTGGAACCCAAAAAGAGTTGGTGTTAGGGGAAATAGATCCAGACAGTTTGTAAAGTTTCTATTTCTTGTCTGCCCACCCATGTCTTTTATGGTCCTTTACTCTATTGATAACCTCTATATTACTTTTATATTCATTTTAAATCCTGCACTGTTTTTGCTTTACACAGTGTATGTTTCGTGCAGTATTTTTTCTTTTATATCAACATACATACACATAAATAATTAGATATAATTCAAAATTGAACTGGGCCTCATGTATTTGTATTTGCTCAATCTGACAGCCCTACTCATGAATGACTGAGATAAAGTTCCCTGGTGCCCCTTCGTTGTCTCTGGATGCTTCTGTCATGGGGAGAACGAAATATGTCCAAAGCAAATGGCCTGGGCCACTCACCACCACATGTTCATGTTCCTCTGAACAAGCATCTGTTCCCTCTCCCTCCCTTCCTGTTCCATTAGATCCTTTGTGCTCTGATCCAAGGCCAGTCCCTTGAGGGTGATCCCTTGCTGCTTGAAGGACCTCCTGCCTGAGGTGTTCCCTCTGTTTTGAGTTGTTCACTTCTCTCATTAACATACAGTGTGCTGTATTATCTCCCTTCTTAAACTGACCCTTGTCCCGGGATTTCCTTCAGCCAAAACCCCATTTCCTTTCTTCCTCTATGGCAAAGCTCCCTTTAAGAGCAGGTGGTGCTCTGTCTCCTCGCCTCCCAGTCTCACTTGCACCAGCTCCTAACAGGCCTTGGTCACCTCTTCATTGCTATCCCATTAGACATTCTCAACAGACCCTCTCCTCAGGGCCCCAGCATGGCAGGCAGAGCTGCCATTGCCCTCCCTAGAGGAACCATTTCTTTACTGGGCATCGGGACGCCGTTCTCTCTTGTCTTCCCTGTTTTACTGACCATTCCTTATTTGTCTGTTTATTTTCTTCTCTTACATCCTTTAACCTTCAAGCATTTGAGTGCTCTGGCTTTAGTGCTCGGGCTTTTTCTCTCTGCATTCACTTGCTAGATGATTGTGGACATTGCCACAACACTAAATGCTACCTGCATGCTGTTGACTTCAGAGTTTAAATACCCGTCCCTGGCCTCTTCCCTGAACTCTTAAGTGCCCAACTGCCTTTTCTGGTCTCCACAGGGATGTCTAATAAACATCTCAGACTTAAGACTTAATACTCAAGAAGATCTTGACGATTTTTCCTTCCCCAGTCTGCTCATCTCTGGATGGTTTTTTGTTGTTTTGTTTTATTTCATCTCAATAAACCATCCTACCATTCACCCAATTGCTTGAGTCAAAAGCATTGGAATAACACTGGCCACCTCCCTTTTAAAAGTTAAACTTCCGGGCATACCTAGGTGGCTCAGTTGGTTAAGTATCTGGCTCTTGACTGGCTCAGGTCATGATCTTAGGGTCCTGGGATTGAGCCCATGTTGGGCTCCACACTCAGCAGGGAGTCTGCTTGAGATTCTCTTTCTCCCTCTCCTGCTACCCCTCTTCCCACCTCTCTCCCTCAAATAAATAAATCTTTAAAAAAAAAAAAATTCAATTTCAGTCTCATTAACAAATGAAGTTGGTTCTATCTTGACGATATAGCAGATGTCTAACCACTTCCCACCCCCTAACTGTTACCATTGTGGTCCGGGCTCCCACCTTCTCATGCCTGGATTGTTTCGTGTGTCCTCTTATGTGATTTCTCTGCTTCCATCCTTGCCAGCCCCCCTCTTTGGAGTCTTCTACATGGCATTCAGGGTGCTCCTTTTAAAATGTTAGCTATACTATGTCATTCCCCTTCTCAAAATCTTTCATTGACCTCCCACCCTACTTAGAATGGGACTCAGTCCATATCTGACCTAGTCCTTAGCCTTCTCTTGCAGCTTCTTAGCTCTCTTCTCCGTTTCACGCTGTTCCAGCCACACAGGTCTTGTTCTACCTCTATGTGTCCAGTACATTCTCATCTCAGTTCTCTGCACTTGGTTTCATGCATGTAGGGTTCTTCCTTAGATACATGCATGGCTCACTTCGTCACTTCATTCAGATGCCTGCTTGATTCCTGAACACCTCCAAACAGCAACTCCCCCCTCCCACGTTGTCCTGCCATATCCCCTTAATTTTGACATTATTTCCTTTAAAGGCATACATTACTCCTTGTTACCTATACATTTCTGTAACTTTTTATTTTTTTTTTTTTATTTTTTTTTCATAAACATATAATATCTTTTTATCCCCAGGGGTACAGGTCTGTGAATCGCCAGGTTTACACACTTCACAGCACTCACCATAGCACATACCCTCCCCAATGTCCATAATCCCACCCCCCCAACCCCCCTCCCCCCATTAACCCTCAGTTTGTTTTGTGAGATTAAGAGTCACTTATGGTTTGTCTCCCTCCCAATCCCATCTTGTTTCATTTACTCTTCTCCTACCCCCTTAACCCCCCATGTTGCATCTCCTCTCCCTCATATCAGGGAGATCATATGATAGTTGTCTTTCTCCGATTGACTTATTTCGCTAAGCATGATACCCTCTAGTTCCATCCACGTCGTCGCAAATGGCAAGATTTCATTTCTTTTGATGGCTGCATAGTATTCCATTGTGTATATATACCACATCTTCTTTATCCATTCGTCTGTTGATGGACATCTAGGTTCTTTCCATAGTTTGGCTATTGTAGACATTGCTGCTATAAA